ACTTGAATAAGTAATATGCAAAGCAACAGAAATCTCTCCTGGGGCTTCCTTACAGAGGCCAAGATAAATTATATGCAATTCAAGCACCCTAGAGTACCCTAAGTGGCAGACAATAAATGAGTTGTGCTGAAATGTGAGTAACTCGTTTCAACTTTGTGATTACATTGAATTGTGGATACTGTTACTAAGCTGCTAGTAGTGTACACTCAAAACTAGTAAACGAATCACAATAACAAGTTACTGATTCAGGAAGAGCAATCCCTCACGTTACTCTGTTGCAGTTAGGTCCTGAGGGAAGTCATGAGCTCTATATGAAACTGCTTATCCAAAAAAATAGGAGCAAGTACCAAAAAGCTGGGTACTGAGGTCACACTACTGCTACATGGTTCTATGCTGCAGCACAGGCTGTTTCGGACAAGTGGCTGCACGTGCTGCTGGCACCTGGGTGAAAAGGAGAGGTGTCGGGGTTTTTAAAAAAAAAAAGAGAGAAAAATTAGTCTTGGATGATTTTATATACTCCAGCCTACTAGTGAGGCAGCTGGCAGTGCCTTACCAGGAGAATACCTAGCATCCACTTGGAGAAAGGAGGGAAAATGCCAGAAATGCCAATATTAAGGTATGCAAACTTTGCAGAAAAATATTGCCATGGCAGAGGCAGCAGGCTGGGGTTCAGCCAAGCTGCTCAAAGCTGGGGGTGAGGAGCAGCATTGCTCCACTGCTCAGGAAGGGCTTCAGAGCTGCCGCTCTTGACTTCCACGGCATGAATGATGTTCCAGGACCAAATATTGAGGCATGTGCGGAACTGGCCATAGATTAGAAATAATTTAGCACTGATTGATGTCTGTGACTGCAGTAATGAGTTTTATCAGTCGCCAAATAGTAGCTTTTAAATGCATCAGCCATTGTGGTCATATGGAACAAGCAACAACTTAATGCAAATAAATAGCTATGTTCCTCACCTCAAATAAATTTATGATTGTCTGTTAAATCATCAAACATTTTTATATTGCACAAGAAGAATAAATTTCAAAGTATAATAAAACATAAGAAAATATAAACATATCCAGCTCCATTAGTAACTTAAAAACATGATCACCGAATGCACCTTCTAAAACTTTTCAGCAAATCTCTTAAAATAAAAGACTTGAAGATTATAATTTAATTCAGTAAACCATCCCATTTTAGGAACAATATTTTGTGGGTAGAAGATCATATTCCATACATAATAACCAGAAGGGGTAAGAAAGCACATTCAGTATGATAAGTTATACATTCTTTTATATTTAGAAGAAAAAGGGTTTGGTAATGAAAACAAAAAAAAAGTAGTATCACAAGAAACTACCTGGAGACTCCATTTTGTTTAGCTTTATAACAGTCTTGCACTTCTTTTGAATCACTCTGAGGTGTGAAGAATTAGATCTCGCTCTGGTATTAATGATAGCTCTGTTTTCCCCTGTAAAATTCCTTGGCTAGCTAAGTCTTTTTTTGAAATTATTCAACATGTTTAAAAGAAAAAACTTAAGGTTTTTTGTTGTTGTTGTTGATGTATTGTATTTTTCATTGTGTCAGTTTAGACATAGCATACAGAAGTTAGTGGAATTAATGAAGAAACTTCATCCTTTTTATGTTATTGTTGTTTTTTGTATTGTATGTTCCTCTTTACAGAAGCCCGATATAACCTGTGAAGCAACTGCATACTTATTTGCATAAGCAGATTGTAAAATAAGGTGTCATTTTTTTATGGGGCTGTACAATTCCAAGCAGAGAAGGCTCGAGTTCTGTGCCTGGAATTGTTAGGTATCAGAGCAGTGCAGATATAGAATAATAATTTAAAAAAATCATTAGATTTTAGAGAATGCAGTGAGTGCAGGCTAAGTCCAGCACCTCAATGCTTGTTGAATATTTTATATTCTGCACTGCTTAAAAGAAGATTGTCATGACTGATTTATGTGTCCTTGTTCTGTTTATCCATATATACCAAGTCTATGGCTGTTACTCCACTCCTAATAACATGATTTTAAAAAAGCAAAAGGAAAATTTGCAAATAACAACTTCTCATTGCTATCTCCAGTAGGCAGACACTTGGGGAACTGCTCCCCCAAGAAGAAATTAGGAAAATTCTTCTCCCAAAAGTCTTTCAGACAGTGCTATGGGAAGAGGTCTTCCCCTGGGTGTCCCCGATCACCAACAGCTCTCACAGGTCTGCAAGTATGGCTCTGAGGCTTCTGCTGAGGTCTGCAGGCCTGAGAGTGTACAGTTAACTTCCTAATGCTATTTTTGTGGACCATATTAAAACTGTCAGGGCTTTCAGATAGATTTCTGTTTGTTTTCACGGGAATTTGTGAGGATTTAGCAGTTTAAAAGGAAAGGTCACGTATGCATACACATACTGACTTTATGCAAGCAGTTAACACATTGAGTGCTTTTAAATTAACTGGATGGAAGGCTCTGTGAAAGTGCAAAGTATTTTAATTATTTGTTTAGTCTTATAATCATTAGGAGACTACCTGGGATAAAACATGATCATCTTCATAATATTTTTTTAAATTAAAAACCTGCTAAAACACAGAATCCACACACACACCTAACAAGACAATCATCGGCGCTTCCTTGTTTACTCCTGCTGGCTGCCAAGGTGCTTTGCGCAAAGGTATTTCTACCTCACAGGGAGCAGTTTTGATTGCTTTGGCCATATTTACTGAGGAACTACTTCGTTGCCTGGAAAGGGGGAGGTTTTGTGTGGTTTTGACTGAGTGGTGCAGTCCAGGAAGAGCCGCAGGGACCAGGGCTGCGGCTGAGAGCTTCTGTTTACTCACTAATCCCCTGGCAATCCACAACAATGAGAAAGCAAACATTGAAAAAGTTCACGATAGAGCAAGATTTAGTGTTCAGTTTCTTATCCAAAATTAAGTCCGCTACCACCTAGGCAGCGTTAACTTTATAAACAAGGGATTTCTTACCTATAAAACCTCATACATTAAGAATATACCTCTCCTCCTTTCTGAAATCGCAATATATTAAGCTGATGAAGAAGATCAACTATGGTTTACAGGTATTGTATTTTCTTTTCAATGGGATAAAAGCTGACACTGTCAAGTTAGTCACTTAGAGACCTCCTCATCAGTGTTAAGGTTTGAACATCTTTTCCTTGCTGATGATTTCAGGGAGGTTTCCTCACAAAATCCAGTTCTTCGTAATACTTTACCTGCTGTGCAGTAGGTTTCCAGATCCCACCATTCTTAGTCTTTACATTATATTTCCTTCATTTCTATTTTGGGGAGAGCATGACCGGGACATGAAGTCATTATACACCTGGTTCAAAATGGGATGTCAGTGGGACAGGCCACCAGCAGCCTTTGTATTGCCCCTTATGACTGAGAGTAACCTTCATGCTGCTAACTGCTCAGCATTTGAACTTTGTACCCTATGAATAGCTAAGTGATTTTTGTGGATATATAAGTTGTTTCCTAGGGTTAAAAAAAAAAGTCAAACAAAAAAAACCCAACCAACTTGCATATAGTGTTATACCGAGAAACACTGGCTGGTTGGAACTTTTACCTCTACTAGAGTTCAACCTGAAGTGGGGATCTGTAGGAGAAGCAATTTATCATATCCTGTGCAATACCAGGATACAACCAATACTGCTGTTGACAGCAGAGGAACAAGGAGACTTGGGGATTTGGTGTTTCCTCTCAGGTTTTGGAGGGAATTGCAATATAGGGTCATGGGCTCTACTCTTTTCTTTAAATGTGATTTCTTAGCTCATCCTTTCTGATCCGTCCCTGTCCAGTCGTCTGTCTTCACTACATCTGCTTCCTCTTTTTTCACTCCTATCAAAGATCCATTCTGTAGGGTTCTTATTTTAGCACACAAGCATCTGTCCAGACAGCCTGTACTTCTGTATTTTTAGGTTTGCAGATTTCTAAAATGTTTCCAGTGGAACAGTAAAGGGAGTTTAAGCCTGCAAACAACATAATGTTTCCTAGCTACACATGATGGATCTGTCAAAGCAGGTATTGAACCCAGTAGGGTGTGTTTACATCTTATGCAACCACTTACATTAAAGTAGGAAGAAGGCATTAAATCATTTTCTTGTGAGAGAATGTTCTTGGGAGACTCCACATTTCTCCAAGAGTGCAAATAAACTACTTTTTATGCTCCCATAGCAGACAAGATGCGGGAACTCACTAGCTTCAGCTGCTGAAATACAGCCCTCACCCCAGTGTTTTAAGGTAAGTAGCAAATGCCTGGCCCCTGCCTCGGAAGGACTGGAGCCCAGTCCCTAAAGAGGGGAAGCAGACTGTTTGTGTTGCGCAGCTGTCTCAGCCATATTGGTCTCAGGGAGAATGGATGCAACTTGTGGCAGTGTTATTCTATCTTTTTGAAATAAATATTCTTCTGAGCTACTTAAACATCAGGTGGGTTTCTAGTGATGTTTTTATTTGTTTTTTTTTTTTCTTCACGTCATTTGTTTTCTCCTCTTTCCTCCTGTTGTCTCCATTCCCTGCTTTCTGCAGTCATCTTTGGACATTAAGCACTTTCTCTGAATTTAAAGGCTGAAGATTTAGCTGAAAGACAAGGTCAGGATGCTTTGGCAAATGCTTCTAACGGTGAATAGGTTTTGGTTTTTATTGTAATAGAATCTTGTATCTGTTCCTATCTGTCTGAGACTTTATGATTTAATACCGAGAGAGCAGGCAGTACATCTAAGCCAATTCAGCTGGCAGAAATATTGTGATTTTACAGACTTGTTGTGTTGCATGTATTCTAACAGCATTTTTTATGTATATATGTATATTTAGATATACTTATATATATGTAAAGATATATAAAAATATACAGGTATGTTTTACAGATTCTGAAGTCAGAAGATACTCGACATTCAGCCTGGGCTAAAAAGTAATCTCTTGGGAAAAAAAAAAAAAAAAGAAAGAAGACAAACCACAGGATTTACTATGTCAGTATGATACTTTTCTTCATTTTTATTGCACATCCCTAACATGGATTTTGGAAAGCCGGGCATGGAAGCAGATGCTTTTAAGGAGGAAGAACATATGTCACAACGGACTGCCAATGATCTGGCAAGCATCGTACCATCTTCTAAAATAATAACTGAGAAGGTCACACCTTCTTTATCCCCAGGTTGGGTTGACAACATGAATGAGCCCTCTGGCAAGCAGTGTCCACTTTTATACAGTTCAGAAGCCAGTGGTATGATGGGCAACATTAATGACTCCACAGATAACTTGGGCCATGACCAAGCTTTTCAGCATGCAAGGCAATTATGTTATTTGGCCAGCTCTGATTTTTTTCCTCAAAAGCTGGCTTCCAGAATTCATGATGCAAGTGACACCTTGGAAGTTTTCACTCCTCCTCTGCTCCCTACCTCCGAGCCTGTCATGAACCATTGTGCTCCCACCTACAAAAACACGGAAGAGGTTAGTTTGCTTTAAATAATCACTGAATTTATAACTGCGTATTGCATATTCCTGGTGGTTGCACAGCCTCTTCAGGAAGAAAGGGATGGTAACAGTTGTGTCTGTCTATAGGTAGGAAGCTTTACCAGCAAGCACTGGGAAGTGCATCACAGCCCTGTGTTGGATTATGTTGCCTAATGCATCCATGAAATAAAGTCCTTTTCCCAGGACACAATTCATCAATTTTCCTCTGTTCCTCTTGTTGGATAGTTACTGCTATCTCCTTCCCTCTGGTGAAAAAGAGGGCATGTTCTGGCTCCGCGGTCTTATGTGTGTAATGGTTGTGAGGCATGTTTATGTTCTTATTTCTGTACATCTTTCCATCAGTTCTCTTCTCATCCTCCACCTCCTTTTTCAGCTTTTTTCTATTTCTGACCATTTCTCTTCTTCTCAGTTATGACAAAGAGATGGACAGGGGTAATTGCACAGTATCTCTTCCACTGAGTGCTCCATTTACTTCTTATACAATAGTAAATAATACAGTGCCTTAGGTACACATTTTAAAGAAACTCATGTTTCCAATACAGTTGAATTTATTATTTAGGATGTGTCTATGCTGGCAGTTCTCAACCCTTTTTCCACTGGAAGTCTATCATAATTTTAGCCTTTTTTGATGATATAAAAATAAGAAGTACATGTGCTAAGAAGGCTGCATCATCTGCCTCTTGCCCTAAGCCCACCTCGCCTCAGGGCTTCTCTTCTTATTACTGTTGGTACTAGAAACATCGAGAAATGTAGTTTGATACTATTTCTTCATGATATTTTCAGACTCCAGGGCAGCAGGACCAGGTGATGAGGCAGCATATGGAGCAGCTGCAAAGGCTGGTGGTTGAACAGCAGAAAATCATTGCGCTTTACAACCCAGGTACTTGGGGAATCCCTCCTGATGCTGCAGCACCCTTGCCTGCTGATGCTTGTGCTCCAGCAGTGAAATGCAGCAGTTCCTTAAAGAAGGCGAAGGATTGATGGTTGTTTTCAGTGGTTGGGAGCTCTTCCTCTGGCAGTCGTGCTAAAGCGTTCATTTTTTTACACACATTATACACAAGGTGCAAACCCCAGAAAAAGTTTCTTTCCTCTTTTGTACACTAAAATTCCAGGACAACTATGAGGAAGAATCCTTTATCTTTAATAACAGAACTCCTGTACAGACTTCTTTTGAAGTACGTCTTTGAATTGTACTGCAGAGAACTATAGTATAATAGTGAGCATTACAGAAAAGCTGAAACATCCCTTTTTATCTGTACCTGTATATGAAAGTTACAGCTTTTACATAGGAGAAAGGAGAGGAAGAAAGTCAACACACCATTCTTCTGTTAACAGACTCTTACCTTTAATAGTACAGCCTGTTCCTCACAGCATGATACAACTCCTTGAATAGCTTCATTTTACCAGTGGCATTGTCAGAAAATGCCATCTGCTCAGAAAGTAGAAAAAGAGGAGTCCCCCAACTTTCCACCCTGTCCACAGTAGTAGCACATTCTCCTCGGTGTGTGACCCCATGGTGAAAGGAGAATTTAGGGAAATCATGTAGGCTTGTGACAGCATTGGCCAGGCTTTATCAGGGCTGCTTGTGCATAACATCAGGCAGGGAGTATCCACAAAGGCATAGGAAGGCCAGGTGATCCTTGGATTGCTGCTGCTCTTCAGATAACCTGCTGGAGAGGCAGCTTCACCTAACCCATGTGGTAGGAACCTGACCAGCCTAAGGCATCCCCTGTCTGCATCTGTGCATTGATCCGGTAGCAGCTTTCTAAGTTTAATTTCAAGCTTCTTTGCCCAGTTGAGACTCTGCAAGGTCTTATTCTACTAAGAGGCCTATCAGAGGAGGGTTAGGAGAGCTAGGTAATGGCACCTTGCATACTAGAGTTCAGTGTAGCCTGATGCAGTCTTAGCAGTAGCTTTTTAAAGCTGAAAAGCTACATTTTTTTCAAAACTTTCTTCACATGTTCTAACCATACATAATGTGAAGAAGTCCTCTCAGTTAAAGACAGGCAAGTCTTTTGCTGTTCCTCCATGCATGTGTAAAAATACTTCATAGTTTGACCAGTTTGGACAGAATAATTTATAATCAAAATTCAATTTCAGTTGCCGTGTGAGGAACATCTGCTTGCAAATGTCCATGCAAAACAATAGGCATTACTTTATGCAGAGTTAAAGATAATAATAAAACCACCAAGAATTTATGATCTTTTGTTTCCCCCACCCCCCAGAAACTCTGGGAGTTGACTTTAGGGAAACACAACCTTACATTATTGTTGCCATAAAAGAAACCGAAATTTTAGCAAGTTTCATCTACCTTGTTAATGTATATAATAGCAAATATTAGCCAACAAAACAAAAGTGTAATTAAAAACATTGGCCAGTAAAATGCTTTCAACTTCCCTCTACACCTAGTGTAACAAAACCGGAAGAAAATTATTTAAAAAGTCTTTTAAACCTGTGTATATGCATGCATAACTAGATCTGTGTAAATATAAAAAATAGTCTCTGCTGGCTTCAATTGTCAGCATCTTTTCAGAATATCAGAGCTCTGAGGCTTTGCTTCATTCCTTCTCAGCCATGTGGGGTCAGAGAACCTTCTGTACGAATGACAAAAAGTTGGGATGGACAAAAAACACACAACCAGTTCCATAGCACCGCTGGGGTGGCTGCAGCAGATACTGACATCAAACATGTTAACAGCAACTGGAAAAGCTGTATGGCTGTCCGAGCTGCGGAGCACGTGCACAAGAAGTAGGTGTACACTGGGGTATATGCACCAGGTAGGAAGCAAGGGCCAAACACCAACCCCGGAGTGACCTTCAAAAGCCTGGCTTTCTGCAGCTTAGGTTGTCTGCTTATGTTCTGGGGACCTTGCTGAGCTTCCCTATAATGCCAGTGGTGCAAAATGAGACTGAAGGGAACATAAGACTTTGGAAAGAACACTGTGTCATGTCTGTTTGAACATCTCATTTTCAAACTTGATGCTGTGTGACAATCATTTTTTTTGGTTGGGGGGGTGTGCAGGATCTCAACCATCAGCCCTGCAGCCGGAAGCCAAGCCACACCAACAGTGGCACCAGCAGGCCTGGCTGTCATTGTTCTGATTTTCCTGATGGAGCTACGCCACTGTGAAATAGCTATCAAAAGCCACTGCTGTATACTAGGGAGAGAGCTTGAAAAAGAGGCAGAATGAAGACTATGGCTGAGTAAATGAAATCTTCTTGATTCTGTGCTTTTTGCCTCAGAGGAAAGTCTGGCTGAAATGGCAGGCAAATGCTCAGCAAGCTGTCTGCGATGACCAGGTTGAACAAGTACACAGTCGCGGCTTTCAAGTTTTCTAATCAAAGCAGAACATCCGCAGAGCAATTATGTTGCTCATTAATCCCTGCCCAAACGCCGCAATTAGCAAAATGCTTGTTGTTACTTCCACTTGTTGGCCGTGAGCAGAACAGTTAGGCTGCATCACTTTCTTCAGGTTCTCAGGAAGGACTGAGCAGTGTGGGAAGGAAAGTGCCTGCTATGCTTCATCATGCAAACTCCTCTTCCCCCTGCCCCAGTGCTCTAAGTCACTTGGCGCATTTTTGAAGAAAGGAAGTACAGTTTGTATGATGAACTCAAGACCAAGCTCATACAGTAAGAAATACATTTATAGGATGCTGTTTGAGTGTATTTACACATCCAGACACATTTAACTAACATATAAAGCCACAGACAAAATGTTTACTTGAATGAAAAGCTGACCAAAATCTTCATTGAAAGTTCTCATTTGTGCGTGGAGGCAGTGTAGGCTGAGGGTAGCAGAAGACATTGCATCATCTGGTCCATTAAGCTTTAGAGAGGTAAACTATGAAGAACCACTAGGGCTATGAATTATCTTATTATGATAAAGGTAGTTGCCATGCATTTAAAGAAATAATACAGTGACCAACAGTAAAATCAAAGCCTCATTGAACTACAGGTTGTTATTTTAATGTCTCATGGTAACACAGAAGTGGCTCTGATGTGCGAATACTAAAGATGCTAGCGATATAGCTTGGTTAACAAAAGCACTAAGTTATAAAACTACTCTATATAGAGATTTCTAAGTTTCCTGGGGAAGCACCTGGTATAGTCCAGTGTTCAAATCTTACCTACAAGTGTCCTTATGGGAGGGGGGGGATGCTCAGCCCATCGACTGGGCCCAGAAGTCCACAATGGTGTCTTCCCTCACATCCCCCTTTTCTTGGACGATTTTTATACTACTTGTTATCTTCAGGTGGAGTTTGAGTGACTCTAGTCATAAATACTTTCATTATGATTGGTGTAAAATTTTCTTGCCTCACATTTAAAGGTATAGTTTATGAAAAATTCAGGGCGCAGACTCAAGGAGGAGTGGTCGCACCTTGGAGGCGGGTAGCTTTTGGGATGGAGGTGTGTCTTGGTATTATAATAACATTATAAAGGGCAAAGTTCACTAAAGGACAGCATTTTGTCAAAAAAAAGTGACAGATTGTTGGCTCAGGGTAACAAGTAGGCAGTTTATCAGTTCTATAAGACCTTTGAGGGCTCTATTTGGTCCCCAAGTCCCCAGTTTATCACAGGGTTTTAGCCACAGTGTCTCCACTCTGTTCCATCCTTCACACTGTTTTTCTTCTGTGGTGCCATCTCGTTCCCATGTCTGCTGGATTATCACAGGGTTTGGCCTTGGAGTCTCCACTCCCTGTGTTGCTTTGCAAGCAATAGGGTACAGGGAATCGCAGATGTAGCGGATTCTTCACATACCAGCTGAGGCTGTGTCTTACCCTACAAGCCTTTTGATTTTATACTTTTCCTTAATGTGTGACCAATGCTGTATTATCGATAATTTTTAGTAATCATTCCACACTTTGCAATACCTAACTTTTACCTGCTAAGGGACTTAAGGTGTCCTAGGGGAAATGTGTATTTTACTTGCTTTGGAGTACTTTGTAAATTCCCTTTAATTCAGCATCCCTGTAGCATACAATAATTTTAGTGATGACTGAAGGTTGCAGCAAGCACGTTTTACAAATTAAATAAAATAACAAAATCAGAATTCTATTATTTCACTCTGAACATGCAAACCACCAGGTAACATGAAAGCAACATTGGTTTTGTGCAACACCAGTTTAGCAAAAGAGTCCTAGTTTGGTGCAAAATACTTGTCTTAAGCTTCTCTAATTTTTCTTCTCTGGTAATTATTTTTAGGCTTTTCTGTTTCTCCTGGGATACCTTCCCACCAAGTAGCTACGATGCCACCCCTTCCGTGCTTTCCGGCTACTTTCATTCCTGTCCAGTTCCCATCAGAAAATTCTTCCCAAGTTGAGATCCTGGAGCGCTTACAGACCTCTCCCTTGGCAATGCACTCTGCTCGGCAAGGCAGATCCCCGCTGTTCATGCCAAATGAGAGTAGTTCAGAAATCTCAGGAGAGCACATGCAGCTTTCAGATTCAGGTGGGTAAAAAGCGCCGGAAATCTGAAGCTAAAGCTATTGTGCCAATCCTGTGAATTTTTGCCCTTGCTAGTGATTGTTACTGATTTTATTGCACATCAGGGGAAGGTGTTTTGTTTTTGTGGTGGCTTGTTATAAAAGCTTTTAAAGTATTTTAAACTTGATATTTTTTTTCTTTTTGAGTCACAGTCATCCTGCCTCTCATACTGACAGAGAAATTGGGCCTTGTAGATATAAACGGAGCAGGAAGTCATTAAATTGGAAAAGCTAAGTTATACGAAGTAGAGGGCATATTTTATTTAGGGGTAGAAGAATAAAAAGTAGGAAGTGGATATAGCTTCCAAAGGCAAGAGAATGAATGCATTTCTTTAGCAAAGAAGGCCTGCTCTTCATCAGCAATCTTGGTGTTTCTCATATTGATATGGAGTCGCATTGTTTGGAGGAAAAACAATGTAAGCTGCTACTTGGCATCTTCTCTTTGCTACGCTTTGCCAGCCTCTTCTTCTGTGGGAAGACACCAAAGGGTGAGAAAGAAGAGAGAGAGATTTGCAAGAAATCAGAAGTTTATTTCAAAATGGGGGGAAGAGGAACAAAAAGAAGTGGGAATGAAACCGCCTAAAGGGGAAGAGGATGTAAATCACACCTGCATCCTGGATTCCTTTGAACTTTGATAGCAAGACCTGACTGAGATGCTGTGAGACAGCATCATGGTACAATTGAAACTCTAATTTCGTATTTTTCAAGCTAGCTCAGGACCAGTACTCTCAGTGAAAGAGTCTTGTCTCATTCTTGTGCCTGGCACTATTATTTTCCTGCTGTGTTAACCTGAACCTGGGTCAGTTGCCTAGTGAAATTTATCAGAGAGCTCCAGAAATACTTCTGCCAGCACAAATTGGGGAGGGGTGGGTGAGGACAGCAAGAACCTGAGAGCAAGAATACATTAGGACAGGGGGAGGTATGACTGCTTTTTTTTGAAAGCAGCGCTGACTTAGACCTGCTTTGTGTGTGTAAAACTAAGGCCTGGAGGCGCAAAGGCCTTAGTACATCAGGTTAACTCCTGACTGGAAGCTGGTCAGTGCAGTTGCCTTTGAAATATGCATCAGTTGAATGTGTGTCTGAGGACTGGGCTGAACTGAGACCTTCCTGACTGTTGTAAGGAGTGTGGGTTTTACTGCTGGAAACATAAACATGAGTGCACCGACAGCTTGTATAACACTTCACATTCTTGTTTAAAGGGATAAGCACCGAGCCATTGCTTCAGTGTACTCGGAACCCTACAAAAAAACTTTCCAGACAAGATGCTCAAGAAGAGAACAGCAAAGAAGACAAAGGTGAGTAACACAGTTGGTTGGACACAATGTTCTTGCCTTGCACTGGGAAGCACTAGGTAAAAATTACAGTGCTGAGGCACCTCTCCTATTAGGGCATCCTGGAGACAGCATAGCCCCATGCATGAGACTGTGAGGAGGGACACATGCGTTCTGCATCCCTTGCAGCTGCTAACCTGCTGTGTCACCTCTGGTTCCTCAGATGTATTCTGGTGCAAGGCAGGTGAGAAGGTTGCAGAAACAGCACTCATTGTCTGCTGTCGAACTGGAGATTTTTGGTGTTTAGCTGGGAAAAGCTGAGGGAATGATGTAAAGCTTTTGTATTCTTCTTGTTGGACCAGAAAGTCCTTTCAGTATGTGGCAAAGGACTTCAGTAGCTCTGGGTGCATTAATGTGACCAAGTAAGCTATATAGTTCCTGGCTACAGCAACAGTGTGTAGTATGAATGAACCAGTAAAGACTTTTTGCTCCAGCTGACAGGTCTAATTTGAGCTAAAAGAGCAAGTTTCCATTAGCTGACACTTAGAAAAAAGATTCATTGAAGTGGATTTCTTCTTGTTGTAATGAACATAGCCAGTAAGTTTCAATAGGAAAATCTACAAATTTACACTTTTGTGAAATAGAATAGAAAATGCCCAGCTAGAAAGTTTCATTTGTACAAATACTGCTTGTTAAACTGTTTAATGAACTGGCTTGCAGGTCACATAGTTACAGACACATGAGTAGTTCAGTACTGTCTAGCAAAGTGTCTCTACTGCAACGTTCTACAGTGAACACATTAACCAAGCATTGCAAATCTCTAAAGGCAAGGAGCACGACTCATACCATCTGCCCTTTCCTTATTTCCAGCAACTAGACTGAGGATCGGGAACCTCTTTTTTTAATGGGTTGCTTCCTTCCACCTACTTAATTCAATTGTATTCTATGAATTATTTTCAAAACTCAAAATCTTGCATATGTTGTTGAAAATATAAACCTTTCTCATTTGTTTTATTATGTTTATTTTTCACTTATTAATTCTATAAAGGCTTTGTTTTCATTGACCTTTTTCCTGCTGCTTAGATAACAGTCAATTAAAAGAAAGGAGTTTCCCTGAAACTTTTTCTGTTGTCAAAGGAGAACAAAGAGAACGTGTAAAGGAAGAGGTTCCTCCATCTCCCTTTGGCATAGATGGGAAGATGAAGACTGGAAACATAGAAGACAGGTGAGAAATTATCTTAATCGGTCAATCAAGCTACAAAAGCATGTTTTCTTTGATTGCACACATACTGTATATGTTATATTTGCAATACAAATGCTCTTTGCTTGAGAGTGGCAGATATGCATGGGCAGAGATTGGGCAGGTCTAGGGACTGGCAGTTGATCTACTTCTATAAAATAGGATGCTGGTTTCTCCGATTTAAATGAACTGGTTTTGCAAATATGATATTCAAAGGATAGAAGTAAGGCACAAGTTAGCAGGGAGAGACAACATCTTTTGCTATGCCATCATTTCTTTTGCAGTGGCCATCAGTTTGTCATAGCAGTATCAGTCTGAGTAGCTTATTCATTCTTCTTGCTCTGCCTCTTCAGTTGTGTCAAGATCTATTTTTATGTGCCTATATAGTGAACAGGTAGCAAAATAATCCTTGTTAAAATTATCTGAAGAGAGGAGAAATGTAACTTTTAACTTGGATCAGTTCTCTGATCTTGTTCATCACTGCATTGCAAAATGAGCTGTACCAGCACACTGAGCAGGTGCTCATGGCTAGGCAAAAATGGTTAGGTTGGCATTAGTGATGGAAGAAATGCTCGTAGAGTTGTTACCCTTCCTCAGCTGATGCAGATAGAAGCAGCAGCTTTTTGGCACTCCAGGCCTCCCATCAAGTATAGAAGAGAAGCAGCAAACTTCTAGGCAAGTACAGAGAGTAATTGTCATGGGTGTGTTTTAGTGCATTAACCATGTGGGAGTTAGGCAGAGAAGGAAGACGGGGACCTCCAGAGCAAAAGGCTGGGAAGAGGTGGCGGGATCATAAGGACCTCTTGGCAATTGGGCCTGTCCACATACGCCTTTTTGCATCAGTAGTGAGCTTCTGAAGTCCGTCTCCCAGTCACTCCCACTTGCTCTGCTTTGATTCACATTGTGGTCTCAGCATGAGCTGGATGAAACTCAAGCACAAAATGGACTCCATCTCTTTGTGACATTTTCACTATGGGACCAGGCTACAGTTGGTTGGAAGTAAACTTCCTTGAATTGTGTATTGTCTAACACTGAGTCCTCAGCAACAACAGTTTTGCTCTACAAATCTAATCCCATTAGGCCATGCTGCGTGCTAATAGACAGAGCCAGACTGAGAAATGAAAAGATTATCGGTGGTACAGTGGTGTTAGGTGAAGGTTTGGTATAGAAAGAACAGTAATGTGCTGTGTAAGTAACTCTGTTAAACCCCGGATTTTTTAATATTCAGTAGAAATAATTAATAAGTGCCTAATTTAAGGCTCTAAGCACATTTCCCATGAAATAAGATATGTTCATGTATGCTGTATTATGCTTCATTTTGAGTCAGTGTTCAATTTGTCCCTCCACAACATTATAGACATTATTTTTCTCCTCTATTGCTCTTCACTAGCTAATTCAAACCACTCTGTCAGAGAGATAGTGAGTTCTTTGTGACTGTAACCAGTTCTAGTCTGGAGAAAATGCCTGAATTTTTTTCCTTTTGACTATTTTCTATATTTAAGGAGAGACTGATACCAGCCAAAAAAAGTTACTTGCTAAAAGCATAATTAACATTTAGTCTAGGCAGGATGTTTTAAAGTGAGACTTAGGTGTCATACAGTAGTGGGCTTTTTACTAACATGTTTCACATTTTAAAAAAATTTGAGAGAACATTTCAGTTCTAAACTAAACATCAGCTCCAAGAGAATTATTGAAAGAAAATTAGTTGGAGAACCTTAAAAATAAGTACTTTCCTGTTCCCTGCCTAGGCCAATCACACCAGCAATTGGTTTTAGACAGAAGCCTTCTGAAGAATTTGTTGAAAAGCAACTTATAGTAGACAATCATCTCACAGCAAAACAGCAGAAGGAGCAGCAGGTACTGTGTCATTGGTGAATTCACTTTGTTTTTGATAAATTCTCATGGACTTTGGTATTGTGTGGGTTCTGTTTTGCCTCATTGCGTGGCAGCACATTTTTCCACTGTTCTTTCACGTGATATTAGAAGATTTTTCCCCAAAGTAAAAAAAACCTATTACTCGGTCAGTCATATTCCCTAATGTTTCCCACTGGATTCTTCTCTTTCCACATACTTTCTGGGTCATAGTTTGTGCCCGAGTCCAACATATTTAGCTAAATTAGACCTCAAGGTTGATTCTGTTAGTTTATTTCATGATAAACAATCCATTCAGGCTCTCATGTGCCACTAATGTGAAAATGGGGGCATTTCCAAATACAGTTTTTGTACGAGGGCCAAGTACAGTAATACTGTTCTGCTTTATGCCTTATGTGCAGTTTGAGAGGAGTTTATGTCTGACACCTCTAGGTGTCAGACTCAGCATTTTGTTAGGCTTGTTGACTTGGAAGCCGCACATTTCATCACTCAGGAATTTTCTCCATGTCTCCCTGGCAAAATAATATCTCAAAAAATGCATTTATATATTTCTGTGTCACATTGTAAAAAACCCTCAAAGTTCCTTTAAAAACAAAGACAAAAATTGTCTCATTTTCTATCATATAAACACTTAACACCATCTTAACCATGAGTCTACTGGTGAATTAATGGAGGCTTCACATAGCGACTGCTTCTAAAAGTTCTTGTACTTTCCCTGTAGTCTAAGGGCTGTTACTTATGCACTCAGTTATCCATAGCCAGGGTCTTTAAGACTTCTGGTGTCTCAGCTTTTTCAATGATAAATATCTTCCTTTCTGGAGAATGATTCTCAGACTTTGAATGCCAGGATTTTTGGTGTTTTTTTCAGAGCAGGGCAAAAGTAACAATTCAGAAGGCTTTTCTGAAACGAAAAGATGGTATAGCAAGGCTCAAAAAAAAGAAACAGAAGCCTTTGAAAGAAGACAGCAGGCATTCCAGAAGAGCTGGTTTGGACTGGTGGGGTCATTTCTCCCAGCCTGGCCAAGTGGATGCAGGCATATTGCAGCCTGGCGGATGCTCTCAGTTAAATCTGCAGGTCAGTAGCTCCGTGCAAATGAGTACACATGAAAAAAAGACAGGCTGTGCTTTAGCTGAGCTGGAAATGAAGGCTCAGACTGACTGCAAAGCAAAAGTAGTTGAGCAAAGTGCAGAAGAAAAAGAAGTGATTGGGAGAGATGAAGATGCAAAGGAAAATCCTGTTGACTCACCACAGAGAAAGTGGCCTGAAATCCTGCAATCATGTCCTGAAACAATAACAGAAATGAACCTACAAGTAGGTGAGGAAAGGGAAACTCATCATATGGATTCTCCAAGGCAAGCAGGCAGAACCGATGGAAGACCTGTAGCGGGTACCCTGCAAAAGGACCTAGGTAGGGCGGATCAGCCTCTGAAGGATCATCTCACAGAAGGAGCAAAAAACCCCTTGGGAGTCCTGCAAAAGCATTCTCCACTTCAAGATTTAGAAACAGATCGCATCAAGAAGCCAGAGATGAGTGCAGGGCCTGCATTCACACAGGGCCAGAAGTGGGTTCAGATATGCCCACAGGAACTTGTTTTGGGGAGCCAGAGCTCAGAAAGCAAAAGACAAATCCATACTGGGTTTAAGATGGTAAATGATAAGATAGTAAAAATTACATGTAGCTCACCGGAGGCTGTGGAGAAGGGAAGCTCATCCTCAGCCTTGCAGCAGAAGTGTCAAAGGAAGGGCACAGCTGCTTTGACGTGGCCTGTTGCATCTTCATCCTGTCAGTCAAGCTGCTTATCCTCCAACAGTGATGATGACCCCAAATCTCACCATGCTCAGTATCCCTCCCAGCATGGGCCTCAGGGAGTAGGTCATAGTGACGGACGTTTGGATCTCTCTGATGGTGATTATGCTAGCGACGAGCCCAGTGGAACTGAAAAAATGTCTGTTAAAAAGTACACCAGATCACCTCCAAGGAAACAAGATATTCAAGCAATCTCAAGACAACAAGGCAGCACAAGCAGCAGCGATTCCAGTACTGGGTCAGTCAGGCTGAAAGGGAGCAAGGCTCGCTCTTCTCTTCAGCAGTCCCTGTTTCATCTCACAAGATTGAAAAGGAGAGAGCACGAGCCTAAATCAAAGAATCAGACTAGGGCCAGGGATGCTAAAAGCCTCGAGTTGCCATCCTCAACAGTGACTGGTGAGACTCCTGCTTTCAAGATAAAAGAAATCCCTGCAGTGGAGGACCCACAGAAAAAACTGTTTACAGACACTTTAGGTAAGAGCCACCTGAGTTTTCATTTACATTTATTTTCCATAGGGGAAAAAAAATCCTCTTGGATTTATGACTCATTCTGTGTGTGCTCCCTAGGTACGTGCCACCTTTGTCAGTATTTCTCAGTCCTAAACTGGAAAAAAAAGAGAAGAAGGGAGAGATGTATCTGCAAGTCCCTGTTATGCTTCGCTCTCCATTGTCACTAGCCATTTTTCCTAAGTCTGTTGCTTGAGGTGCACTTTCAGGTGCAGAATTTGACCCCATGAGACGGGTGAGAGGTTCAGTGAGTCCCTGGAGTCAGTGCTAGAGGTCTCTGTAGCTTAGGTATGTTCCTCCCAAGGACTCCTTGACAGCAAGATGTTCACCCTCCTCAGAGATAAACTGACTTTAAAAAAGGTAGGCAAAACCTTATGAAATTCAACAAGGGTACGTGTAGGGTACTGCGTCTGGGGAGGAATAACCCCATGCATCAGTACAGGTTGGGGGCTGACCTCCTGGAGAGCAGCTCTGTGGAAAGGGACCTGGGAGTCCTGGTGGACAACAGGATGACCATGAGGCAGCAATGTGCCCTGGCGGCCAAGAAGGCAAATGGCATCCTGGGGTGCATCAAGAAAAGTGTGGCCAGCAGGTTGAGGGAGGTCATCCTCCCCCTCTACTCTGCCCTGGTGAGGCCGCCTCTGGAGTATTGCGTCCAGTTCTGGGCTCCCCAGTTCAGGAAAGACAGGGATCTGCTGGAGAGGGTCCAGCAAAGGGCTATAAAGATGATTAGGGGATTGGAACATCTCTCATATGAGGAAGGGCTGAGGGACTTGGGTCTCTTTAGTCTAGAGAAAAGAAGATTGAGGGGGGATCTTATTAATACTTGCAAATACTTAAAGGGAGGGTGTCAGGGGGATGGGAGCAGTCTTTTTTCAGTGGCGCCCAGTGATAGGACAAGAGGTAATGGGCACAAGCTTGAACATAGGAAGTTCCATCTTAACATGAGGAGGAACTTCTTTACTTTGAGGGTAGTGGAGCACTGGAACAGGCTGCCCAGAGAGGTTGTGGAGTCTCCCACTCTGGAGACATTCAAAACCTGCCTGGACGCTGGCCTGTGCAACGTGCTGTAGGTGACCCTGCTCTGGCGGGGGGGTTGGACTAGATGATCTCCAGAGGTCCCTTCCAACCCTAACCATTCTGTGATTCTGTGATTCTGTGATTCTGTGATTTTGTGAAAATAATTTCTCAAATTTGCATGTTTAATCGCTAAGACACAGAGAGCCTCATATCAGTGGAAAATGATGATTTCCTAAGAACATCTTCACTCAGTTTGTCCTGAATGCAGTCCCAGTTCTTTGGTCAACCAATCGTTCTAGCCTTTTGGTCCAGTGATCTTATTTCTGGCAATGAAATGGTATCCTGCTCAAGTAGGATTTAGTCCTTTTTATTAATTTCATTCTTGACTTTTCTTCTCTCTTAGTTTCCACTGAAGGACTTCCCCTCACATTGACTCCTCATGGCAAACCCATTGGCTGTCTCTTTGTGTAGGATCAGTCAAAATCAGTTTTGATTTGATTTTGTTCTACCTGCAGTAATAACTGGGGCAGAAATACTAACTTCTGATGGCTCTCATTTGCTCTGTCATGACTTGCTAAGCACACTCTACTCCATGTCAGACTGCTGTTAAAAAAAGATCCTGAGACATTTTTTAAAGTTATATTCAAAATAAGGTTGAACTATCACATGGCATTCACATTCCTGAAAAGGAATTCAGCTACTGACACTGATACATCCCCAAATCTGTTTCACTTATCATGATTTGTAGTGCTTGGATTGTGTTACTAATAATTATGCTGGGAATGGAATACTTGCATAATTAGGCAAAGATACGTTAACTCTGACAAATTAAGCAATAAAGCTTACTGCATTTATGCAGTCTGGGGTTTTAAATACGTAGAGAGGGTTCACAAAGTTCTGTGTACTAACATAGATATCTTTATAGAAGAAAGCCAGCACACCATTACCAGAGGGTTAGAGATTTGTGCATATCACAGAGGATCCCCTTCACTGACTTGGGTGAAAGAACAAGTGAAAGCAATGCGTTTTTGTAGGTAAGTCTGTATACATCAGAAATTGATTTGTATGTGCAAATATGTCCTTTAGGATCCTTAAAATCAGGCTGCTAATTTCATACTTATTAGCTAACCTCTTTTCAACTGTTTATGTTGTTTCAGAACTGAAACACTTATTTAGCTGTCTAGATAAAAAGCAAAGTGCCTAACTGAAGGGGGTAACTCTGAAAATACTGGTGCAGTTTGGGTCTTAAAGCTGAGTAATGCCAAACTCTTTCTATAAGTTGCTGAACATCTTCATATTACACTGAAATGAGTAAGAACTCAGGATAACTTATTTTATGGGATCAGGCCTCTGATGGAGTAAAGGATAAACTTCTCATATTTCAGAAATACCTGTCTTCAGACTATACTGAGGGTGTGTTTGGTACTGTACAGACGAAGAACTGGAAAATTCAAGAGAGTTACTTTCGTAATTTGTAATTATTAAATGCTGAAAATCATTTGGGTTTTGGTTTGTTTTACAGCTTCATAGAAGTGAAACAATTCCTTACTACAAAATCCCTGCAAGATATAAGTTTTGAAACTATGGGGTTTGGACTCGAAGTACCATCACAACTGTAACTAGTTACAGGTTATGCAAATGCCTCTAATGAAAATTTAGCATGCTTACAATCAAATAAAATACATATTTTTAAATGTGATGAAATCTGTTTGAAATTACTAGGTACCATCTACTGTAAATACAGGAGAGACTCTTCCTTTTTACGTTTCAAGCCTAGTTCTTAACTAGTGCCAAATAAGCATAATTTATTGTTTTGGATTTTTAATATATAATGTAAACTAAGAAATTATTTTTCACATCTGCTTGTTCATTCTTTTTGATCTCAAAGACCATGCGATTAGTGCCAAAGGATATTTCCGAATTACATTTATCATTTTGCATGATTTCCTCCTATAGCTGTCTTTTAGCAAAATACTTTCAGTGTCTTAAAAATAAACGATTTCATTAAAGATCCTACTTGTTTGCGATCATACGAACATACTGGAAGATGATCTCCAGCTGACTGTGATAGGCATTCCAGATTTGAATATTTGTGGGATTTGACACTTCATAAAACTAGTAATGAAATTAGGTGCTGCTTTTACTTTTACTGGTGTAAATTTTGGCTATGGAGGGACGCATTGGTGCAGAATTACTGCAGTGCACTCTCTGCCAGCGCTGCATTCTCTGCCTGCTGACAATGCTGCCTCACAGGTGACAGGGCTTTGTTTTTTTCATAATAGCGCAGGTATTTAAAAAAGCTTTCTGTGGATTTATTCATGTCATTAGCCATAGCAGCCCCTAGCATTTTCACACAGGTCTTTATCCGAAAATACCTGCTTAGTAAAATGTGTGCATCTTTTCACTTACTTTTTGTAATTTATGAGCTAAAACTAATTGTGAAAGGCAGCTTCTCCTCCTTAACTACATTGAACCTGTGCTGATTTATGCAATCTCAGAATCTGCTTCGTATTTTCAAACCAGTAAGCCTGCTAGGAACACAAGAAGGCCACTACGTTGATAGCATTTCACTTGTGCCATGTTGACAACTTGTGCCATGTTGACAATTCGTGCTCATGGGAAGCAGTGAAAATTCTTTTGAGAGCAGCATGACATGTCTGGACCTGCCCAGTCTAGCCATTCTTTCGTTTCCCAGTGCTTTGTTTTTAGACCTTTGCAGGAACAAATAATATAAGCAAGAGGGTGAAAACAGTTGGGATGTAGTGTGTTGAGTGTAGCTGGTGCCTAACAGAGCCTGGACAATGCTCAAGGCAGCAGCCTGTGGCTCCACCCTTGCAGCACTGAGGTAGTAACTCTTGACATCATCATCTTGACATTGGTCATTTCTTTGTTCTTTCAACAAGGACAACGTTTGCCGTTTTTAATACATAATTTCCTTGTAGTATTGAATCTGCACTCTTTCTGGACCAACAGCAGTAGCCAGCAGGTTTGTTTTTTTTCCCATCTGTATTTTGCTAAAAGGCTTTTTCTTGGAAAAATATCTTTGCTTCATGTATGGTTTTGCCTCACAGCCAGCCTGCTGCAATGTGCCTCTCGCAGAGGTACTCCTGGGACTCATGCAAGAATTTGAATTAGCACAAATTACTTAGCCTTTTTTTTTCTATATTTTGTATCTGTGATGTGCACCTAGCTCCTATTTGCAACTTAAAGCTAGGGTATGATTTGATTATCTGAGGATCCAAAGAACTATTGTATCTGCTCCTGGTGTCCTTCGTCATTACATTTCCTCAGGCCAGGGTCTGTTTTCTAGCCTTGAGGCAAAAAGGCACAGCATAACACCTCCGTATGACTAACCTGTCTTACCCTGCAGACCAGGGTGGCTGCTGAACATGTTCCCTGGCCTGTGCTAACCTCCAAACCTTGCCCAGCATTGCCTAGTACAGTGCTGGATGGCTGATGCCAAGACGAGAAGTCACTCTAGCAATATGGCACTCTAGGCAATCGCATGCTTGGGTTCATGCTCCAGCTCTGATTAGTTTATTTATACAGCTGTAACTCTTGTGCAATTCTGAAGAGGCTGATATCAGCTGAGCTGCTCGGAGGACTAGCTACCTGGATTTTATTTTACAGGGTGCAAGAAACTTAAGACACTACTGTTCAGTCTTCAGTGGAAGATGTTACATATAGATCTTGCATCTTGCTTTTGTTCTGGTATATTGTATTTCAGGGCAACTGATCTGGATATGGAGCAGTGGTGGGCTGAACACAATCAAGCAGGGGCTAAATTTGCTAATTTAACTGTATTAATGTGAGAAGAATTAATACTTCTATTGACTATTGATGACACTTTTTTTACACTGTATTAATGTGAAGAGAATTAATACTATTGACTATTGATGACACTTTTTTTAGGATGCCTTTAACCAGAATATTAGATAGGCATATTTAGGACAGAAAACAACCAAAAAATAAAAATTAGGTAATGAATTGTAAAGAGCAGCTGTATAGGGGGAGTTTGTTTATCTCTTAGTATTTTTGAGAACTTTCATATTTTGCTGCTGAAGTTCTAAACTCCATTACTAAGAGGAAAACATGAGGTCATGGCTGCCTCCTGTAGCTCTTGTTGCTTTTCAAGTAATAGTTGATGACCAGATGGTGGCTGTAGGTCATGAAGTGAGCTGAAGCAGGAAGCTAACAAATAATTTAAATCATACTAAAATGAACTAAGCAGCTGGATCATAGTCATACAAATATACTCCATTTGAGGATATGTAAAGATTTATACTCTTCCCCTCTTGCCGAGTTTTTAAGTGCACTTTCAGACCACTCATGCCTTGAGACACTGAGTTCAAAGGCAAAATCTCTTCTGGGTGCTGAGCTCCCACATTTAACTCTTGGAGTATATTTACCTATGGAAAGTAAAGTACTTTGTCCCCTTTCGTTTAGGTCCATGGCTGTTCTCATTTGTAGGAAAGACTTGGCTGCTGGAAATGCAGCCCAGTCCCCAGCCTTGCATGATGAAGTGCTTCATAGGTGCAATACCAGGGAACAAGCTGTGGCTTCTGCAGATCTGCCCTAATTTAGCTATCTCTGTCAACAGAAAACCTGTTTAAAAGCCTCTAAGTTCATGGTCATTTCGTTGTCAGAAAATTTCGCTGAGAATTTTTCCATCTACTCGAATAAATTTTGCAGCTGAAAGCATGCATGAGTGTTGCCAGTGATGAAGGACCTAAATTTTGACAAGTGCTGATAATTTGTTCCCACTCCCAGCAGTATCAGCATATATAGGACATGCCCAAGCCCTCCTAAAATCATGCCCAAAGAAGGTGCGTCTAAAGGCAGTTCTTTGTAATAGTCTTTATGCCAACTTCATACTCTTTGTTTGCCTTTTGAACAGAAAACAAATGGACAAGCTCAAGACTGTCAGGAGCCAGGAGCTGACTCACCCTTTGGAATACAATAGAGATGAAATTTACCCACTACAAGAAGAAAAAAATGCTCATAGCAAGTTCAAAGGAACAGCTAGAGTCACTGAAGAAAATATGAAATCAGAAGAAATACAAGTAAGCTGTCTTCTGTAGAATAAATATGTAGTCTCATCAACTAGTAGCCTTCCATGCAGCCATCTTATGGTAGTATCTAAATCCTTCCATTTGGCACAGATAGACAATTATTCATGCTACTGCTCGAGGAAAGTTGTATGTACAGTGAAGATTTTTCATGTTAATAGGACATTGCTTTGATTTGTGTTTAAAATGTACATCCCACTTCCTTTATACAAGAAAAAAATCAGGTTATGCCTTCTATTTTGTAAGGAAGGTTGGAAGATTCCCATGTTTGTACTGGTTTTCCCAGATCTGAGCCAGCTCTTGAAAATTTTCCGACTCCTGCCACAGTGGTCTTTACACCTTTTTGTTAGAAAGAGACATTGTGCCCATGGCACAGATTTATTGGCCACCATTGTCTATTCTTAACCCTGAGCTGGGAGTTTGTTGATTTTTTTTTTCTTTAAGCTATCCTGACCTTTGGCTTTGAGGTATTTTGATGATATCTAGCTGTGTATCTAACAACCCAACCTGCCTAATAACATCCCTGAGTCATTTATTGTGGTTTATTCTAAGTTCCTTTAGGGTATTCTATCTGTTTGAATCCTCTATTTCAGCCTCGTTAGTGATAAGGGAATCTCTGAATATCTGTGGCTATTATCCCTATTAAGAATTGCTAGACATAATATGACTTCAAGTAATTTTCTAGAAGAGTCACTGATAAAGAGAAGAAAAAAAAATAGTGAGCCATGTAAGACAGTGATAAATGAGACGGGGGCAGCTAAAAGCTATATTTTTATAGGATAAAAGAGTAGGCAATGGTAATGCTCAGAAATGTCTGGAACAATGTTCTGCTGCAAAAGGATGTCTAAACCAAACTGATATATTTGACAGCAAACTGACAATTTCAATGATTTTATTGACCAGAAAAGTTTGAGAACAAATGAAACTGGCAAGATAGTACTTTGTTCAAACTTTCTGTACTTCCTATATTTTTCATTAGTACATTTTTGAAATACATATTTTTGTACCATACACCTAGTGAATGTTTTCTTTGCTCATGTTCCATATTTCTCTAGAGGTAACATTTACAACAGGAAATGGTTGACTGTTTCAGTAAGGTTCTTTTAATATTTTGAATAAAAATATTTTTAATATCCTCTCTGCACAATATTTTGAAACATCAGCTTTATTTCCACCTGGGATTTTTAAAAAAATGTTAGAATTTCTGCCAGGGAATAATTGTGTTTCCTGACTAGGTCTAGCCCTAGAGATGAAGTTTGATAGAATTTTTTTAATCATTTGTTGCCACCTGATAACATAATGAGTGCAGGTCCCGAAAGTTAGCTTTCCACAAAACAATCACAAAACAATTTCTGAGACACTTATCTGTGTGATTCCCAAGTTCAGAAGTTTGCTGCTTCTTGAAGATGGCCAATGGATATGCCAAATTCTGACCAGGCAGCTCATAGCAAAGAAAGGTTGGTGATGAGGACACAAGTGGGCAGATAGACAAGTGAAGGGAAAATAGGAAAGGGTTGCATGTGACAATTGATTGACCACAGAGCAAACTGCACATTTCTAGTTTACCTCCACCAACATTGCATTTGCAGTATCCAGCATGAGTGCTTTGAAAGAAGAGGACTCAGAGTTGGCATGAGCACAGGTGATGAGGGAAGGAGAAGGGAGTAGGGAAAAATAGTGGAGATGCACGTATACAGAAAAGTCCTCTCCAAAATGCACCAAATTTCACTACTTTCATTCTCCTGAAATCAGTAGAAAATTATGTATTTGTGACCCCCTGCTCTTAAAGGACCGTTTAACTAATCATGTGCCCTTGTCACTCCATGAAGATCTGATGAGCTGACATTTTTGCCATTAAAATATACCTTGCATCCTTGCCTTTTTCTGAAAACATCCACATTGAATGGTGAGTCTTTGCATGATTAGTTTGCATTTCCTGATTTTCCTTTACACAGCAAGGACTTTTTGCTGCTCGCTTTGTAACAACTGGTTCGTTTTAAATACAGGAGTTTGCAGGGTAGTGGGGTTTTTTGTTCCTTTGGTCTTTTTTTTAAGAAATCATTTAAAATGTGTTCTTTTTATATTTCAGACCTTTATACTGAAGACTTTTATACTGTAGACCTTTAAGCAGAACAAAAGAGTCCATGCTTGCTTCTGGGTGTATAAGGTGGGCATGCCTAGTTCAGAGCAGGCAATGACATGGCACACTTTTTTTCTACTGGTAGATATTAAAACAGCAGATTGCGGGACTGCAGGAGGAGTTCAAGAGAAATGAGTCCTGCTGGCATGCTGCCTATGGCCAGCTGAGAGACCAGGTTGAGATGCTGACCAGGCAGAACATGGAGCTTCGAGATGAGCTCAGAGTTTCAGAACATCAGAGACGGAAAGCAGAAAAAAACCCAGAAGCTGTGATTTTCACGGACAGAAAGTCAGAGACCCCGGTACTGGAAGATATTATCTGTTTAATAGTGTCTGAAAAATGTAGGTGTAGCTATTCTTTGGAGCTGGCATGTGTGAATACTGTTCCTCCATTCCTGCCATGCTTAGCCTGAAGAGGGGAAAATCAGCTCTGCAGTAAGCTGTATTAAAATACACTCTTTGTGCAGTCCTCTTCCACTTAGCCTTAGTTATCCCTGAAGAAGGTATCTCTACAAGGTGGTTCAGCCAACCTACCTTACACACCTATATCAGGGCAGATGTCTGCCTCCACTAACTAGGGAGGGAGTCTAGATAACTAATTTACATTCAGTGCCTAAATGAGACAACTAAAGTCTCTTGAAATTGATTCTAGTATTTATGTATATAATGCCATTTAACTTTTTAATAAAACAGTTATTCAGCCAGATGCAGACTGTTTTCTGGCAATAGATACAGTGAGACCTTTTATTAAATCTCATTTCAGTTCTTATTTTGTGCTGTAAGCTTTCTGGGAACACAGACACTCGCTGTCAGTGGCCTGCCTTACAAAGGCACAAGTTGGACTCCTGAATGTGAGTTATACTGGGGTGGAGCAGGAAAGACAATCAGGGTGGAAAATAAAGCTGGCTAGCATAAATGGCTCTGGTGATCTCCTGACATCAAAGAGGTTTAATCATAGGTTAACAGATTCTATTACCCTTTCTCATTCAGTGTCCCATTTGTTTAATAGTTAGCTGCTACCTTACTGTATATATCTGAAGAACTTCATTTAAGGGAGTAAAAGGAAGGAAGAAGAATGCTGTTACCCACTTCTTACACAGGAGACAGCAAGTCTTGGTGAAATTAAGTGGTTCAGGCTAGAATTTAAAAGACAGAAGTCTGGTTTGAGTGGGTCATTTCATCTCCCTGTGTATTCAAAGGAGAAAAATACGTGCCTCTAAAGAGGGATCAATTTCATCCTATGTGCGTCAAGGCAACTAGAACAGATAATTATCTTCTAGATGGTGCAGTTTGGGTGAGATGAATCCTATTCTTCCACACAGTGGCTGAACCTAGGAGAAAATAAAATTGAGCCATTTACTGCTAGGTATTTCCCTAATTTGCAAATCTAATATCTAGTAATGTATCTTTAAAAGATGTTACAACCACCAATTAACCTGTCCTTTGCTTTATGGAGTGAAGAAGTTTTGGTCTCTCTTTTTATTTGATTTTAATGTACTTGTTAACGAGATTTTTTCACTTCACACTATTAAGTTCCATTGAAAATGTCATTTCAAGTTACATTTCACTTTATTTTTAATTTTACCAAACCTACCTGTTCACATGACTCATCCTTTCATATATTGTGAAGGTCAGAAAAAAAAGATTAGAGTCCACATACAGAATGAAAAAATATAAACATTCCAATAAAAGCAAGGATAAGAAAAAGCTAATTGACTGCTGTTGTAGGCCCTATTTCTGTGTTATTTCTACTGCTTTGGGACATTTGGTGATGTAGAACTAGTGTTCAATCCACTGAAGATTTTTGTTGTTTGAGAGTAATATGAGATGCTGTATATAAAGATTCTAGGATGCCATATACAAAGATTGTTGTGTCTGGTACTGGAGAGTTTCAGTCCCTAGCAGAACAAGATCTGGAATTTCATTCATTGTGTTTAAATGTCATAATTTTTATTACAACAGAAAATCAGATGGCTTTGAGGGTTGTTTGATTCTACTAGCTGTGCCTTGAACTTAAAATTATATATTTATAACAAATTCTCCATTAGGTTGCAGAAGCTATTCTGCGAGAGACAGCATCATCATCCAAACAAGAAGAAAGATCACGGAGAGATAATCACAAGAGCCACAGCATCTCTCATGTGGGGCCAAAGACATCTTTGCAGAAACACTTCTTTAGAGATGTGAATAGGAAAGTATGCATTCCTATTGCCTGTAGCCACTTTACCACAGTTTCAAATATTTATTTAAAAGAATGTTCTTTGGAATCAAAATTTGTGTAAATGAAAGTCTCTGTATAAGCATAGCCATGTTTTCTTGCAGTGGGCTTGTGCTGTGATTCATTGTAACTTTGCTTGTAGTTTTTCTTCTGGTCTTGCAGTAGCAGGAGACAAGCCCTTTTTTAACCTTTCCAGGCCTAACTGAATTGCCTGTTGTTTGCAGATATTCTCTGAATTCATTGTACCTGCTAGATCACAGATTGGTTTTACAGGGAACCATCATATCCTGCTTCAGCGAAGCATAAATCCAGTATTTTGCCATTTGAGGCCATACTTGCCAACAAGCACTAGTGGCCTTCTGCCTGATAAAGTCTGAGGGAAAATCACTTAGCTTTTTACAAACTGTAACAAGATAACTCAGTACTTCAAGTGAGGTGCTTGTTTTTGACTGCTATCTCTATGACTGGTCCTCCACAGCCAGCTTACCACATTTCTTACACATCTCACTGTTTAGAATATATAGATATCTAAATATCTTGTTGTGCTTTTCTTTCTCTTGGCTTTGTATTTCTTGCTTCTTATCATGAGCATCTTGATTATTACAAGTCCACTTTCTTCCTTTTGCTCACATTTAGCTGAAATCTGTGCTTTGTTCAAGTGAACAGTCTTTCTATGAAATTTCCCCTACCTTCTGGAAACTAATATCCCAACTCTGTTGGCCAAAGCAAAATTTAGCTCAGATTAGCTAACGCACTGCTCTCTCTGTATGCGTAGGGACTGAAATCAAATGTAAAACATGTCAGATGAGAAAGAGGCAACTGTTCCGCTCTAGTGATCATGACAGTGATCATGACAGCTTGAAAGTCACTAGGCAGTGGCTTCAGTGAATCCTGCATGGTGCCTTGTCCCGGTTTGAGGTAAACCAGGACCAGTTTTCTATTCAGTAACTACTTTTTAGCTAAGCCTCTTCTAACAATTGAAATTTACAGCATATTGTGCAGAAACTGTTTGCTCTCAGAGAGATAAGACTTATGTTTATAGTTGATGCCAAGGAATGGTATGCAGAGAGGCTCTTGATTATACTTATTGCTACAACACCCAAGGGCAGCTCACTCTGTTATGTGCCCCATTGGAGGGTCGGAAGTGGAAAAGTGTAGAGGGGTCCCACCTGCGGGGAGGAGCGGACAGGACAGGTGATCCAGAACTGACCAGCAGGGTATTCCATCCCATCTGCCTCATGCTCAGTATAAAAGCTGAGGGATCAAAGGGTCAGCCTCTTTCTTCAGTGGCCAGTGTCCAAGGAGGATTCTGTCTGTTCCTCTGCCTGTGATCCCAATCCTCAATCCAGATCTGGAATCCAGTTCCTGTCTGTCACCGAGTCCAGTCTGGGACTTCCCCAGCGCCAGCTGGTGACATGATTGTCATCCTGGGAGCTTGAAATGGTTTTGTATATATTTCATTATTTCCTTTTTATTTTATTATTAATATTTCATTAAAGTAGTTTAATTCCTTTTAAACTCATAAGTGCCTCTCTCCTTTGAAGAGAGGTAGTGGAGAGCATCTGTCGTTCCACCCAGTGGTGGAAAAACCATGACATGCCTGATATGAAAAGAGATAAGAATGACTCTAAACTGAATATTCTTAAACGAGTGAAATCAGTCATGTGTGAAATAGTAGCTTCAAAGAGGATGCAGACATTATGTGTCTGCATACAAGACTGGCTATATTTCTAAGTAATGTATGTTGTTTATAAGTCAGAAAGTGGAGGGTTTAGCTGCAGGAAATTGTTTTATTTGTTCTATGTTGATGTCAGATCTCTCCAGTTCCTTCTTCAGCTGGGATCTCTCCATTCCTCTGTGCTCTGGTGGGCAGAATTACAAGCCAGACAAGTAATGTGGGATATACTATCTGCAGTTAAAGTGGCCAGTAAAGTAAAAAAGCTATCTTTGGTAGCTTACCCTGGAAATTTTCAAGGTATGAAAGGGTTTGTTTCATCTGAACACCTCAAACACTCTTGTGAAATGAGGAAAAACCAGAAATATTTATTCTACATAAAGACTCCCTAAGACCCATTCAGTTAATTTTCCTCTTGTGGCACACAGCCATGTGCGGAAAAAAAAAATAAAAAAATAGCAGCTTCAGCAACAGTTCTGAGAAGGGGGAAGTTGAGGACAGCAGACTTTTGGGCTCGCCATTATCTGAGCTTTCACCATCCAGCCAGCATTGAATCCAATCCAACTGGAATCCAGCACAAGCATGAGCTAGGCTGGTGGGCATAGTGCCCAGATGTCCTGAGTGAACTCTGAGATGTTTGACAGAGACACACGTTCTTTATCTGATCTGATGGCAGAAGAAGGTCCTGCAATTAATAGAGTGGCTGCTGATTATTTGAATCTGGAATTGAAGGCTCAGGTGAATGGAACATTAAACAGAAGCCCAAATTCTGTGTCATAGCACTGGATCTAAACATAGTGACTCACTTGTGTTTCCTTTGTATTTGAGCTCTCTTTCTACCAGGTGGATGCTTTCCCTCAAGATTCTGTGAATCAGGACAATTCTAAATTTTGGTTATAGATAAAACAAACTCTCATGCTGTTTCTGTCCAGAATTGAGAAACTGTGCATGGAAACATCAAAGTGAATTGGATAACCTTGAGTAACAGAAGTAGAGAGGTGTGCCACAGGGATATGTGTATACCTGTATAAGATATATAAGTTAAAGCTAGACTGATGAGTTTCATCAGCTGTAATCAAGAAGGCAAAACAACACTTAACATCTGACAAAGCTAATAGAATTTGAGAATAAAAAAACAATTGGGGAGCAAGTCTGAATAATTATCAGTACCGGTTAAAGACACAGTTTTTTGGAATACGTGATTTTATAAAAAAACCCAACCATATCTGAGAGATGTCCTACATGTCTGAAAAAGACATATTCTAGTTGCCTATAATACTTTTATTAATGATGGTTTCTATTTGTACTATAGCGACCTAGTTGGTGAGGAAGTGGCCACTTCAAGCTGTGCTTTAATGAGACAAGATAAATGTCCATTTTAACTGTATATCATTAGCGATTCTTTCAGAATATGGCTTGGAAGATGTACAGGTTGGCCAAAATGGTTAC